TTCTGGTACGTGAATCCAATCGCTTTTTCCACCAAGCCTGGTCTGGACCTGAAAAGAGGTGCAGGATGACGGAGTCACTGGCCGAGATCTTTTGGCGCTGACGTCGATTGAGGGGAACAGACTCTCCTGTCCACCTGCCAGTTGGAATCACCCTGGCAATCAGTTCGTCAGGTACTTCTGGCCACAGCTCTCGGAGGTCTTTGCCACTTCCAAACATTCGGGGCCAGATCACCAGGATCGCCAGCCTTCAGTGCTGCCACCCTCCGAGACAACGTCGCCTCGAACTTCTCCAACTCTTCGATCAGCCGATTGGCGGTCTTGATGTCCACAGTAGGGCAACCAGATTCCAGGACCACCTCCACTTTCTCCCCGGCTGAGTTTGACATCTCAAAGTTGTCACCCTCCCATTTCACACGATAGCCCAGCCTCACGACCTTGCCCAATGGGACTATGGTCTGGGTGTTGAAGTCAGTGATGAGGGTGCCAGCTGTCTCCACCTGTCGAAGAGTCGTGACTCCTGCAGCCAACTCGACCTTGATGGGAATAGCCTGCTCGAACTCCTTCTTTGACCTCGCCGGTCTCAGGACATGGGTTGCACCACCATCAAGTAGGGCTCGTCCATTCCCTTCTGCCGGAGTGACTGAGCGCATGCACATTGCCTTCAAAGATGGCCTCAAAGACTTTAAAAGCTGGACCGCCTCCTTCATCAAGTCCTCTGAGGGCTGCACCGGCGGCGGATGGGGTCCTGCTCCTCCTGAAGCATCACTTGGTTGCCCACCACCTCCATCACCCCCTTTGGACACTCCATCTTTATTTTTGATCTCTTCCGCGATCTCCTTTTTGACCTTTGGCGCGTCCTTCACTGGACAGTCAGGCTTCATGTGCTGGGTGGATCCGCAAGACCAACACCGGCCTTGCTTTGAAATACCCTTCCAATCATGAGGAAAAGGGCACTTCTGTCCTTTCTTGCAGCCATTGTCCAACAAGAAGTAGCGGCACACCGGCTTCTCCGAACCACCACCCTTCGAATCACCCTTGCCGTTCTTCGCCTCGACCTTGTCGTTCTTGAACTCCTTGGCATCTTTGCCACCCTTGACTTCGGATGACTCCTTGCCCTTCTCCCGACCCTCACGAGGCTTTCCCCCCTCGTCTCTGGTTCCTCCTCCGTCACCATCGAGGGCCTTGACCTTCACGGTGTCCTTGAGTGGTGCAATCGAGCCCCCATGAAAGGCTGCTTCTCCCTCCGCCATCAGAGACTCTGCGAACTGCTGGATGCCATTCTCAGTGGGAGCCACATCAACTCTCAAGGCTGCACGAGTGACCTGCAGACGGAAGGCGACTTGTGTTGACTGCTTTGCCAACCCAGCAGCGAACCTATCCAAAGTGGCCAAGAGAAGGACCGGATCAGGAGGTTGGATTCCAAGTTCCTGTACTCGAATCAGCCACCTCCTCCAAGCACGAAGCGAAGTGAGCCATTCCCCCAACGGACCGGGGACCTTCTGGTCGACGAGCTGCTTGAGAAGAGTGGTACGTTCCCCAAGCCCACCAGGTTGGTAGACTCGCAAGACCTTGAACACAATGCTCACAGAACTCACCTCCCTTTGCGAGACCAACTCTGACCTCAGAGATTCCGGGATGGCCTTCAAGAGTGCAACCGATCCTCTTTGCTCAATCCTCAACCATGGTGGCCGTTGGAAAGCCGGTGGTGTGACAGGAACCAGGCGAAGTCTTTCCATTGGTTCGGAGTTCAACCACACCCTGTATAAAGCACCGGCCACATTCAAGACCTCATCCCACCAAAGCGAAGAGCTGGTGCTAATGTCCCGCAGGAAGGGCCCAATTGTTGTTAACCAATCTCCAGCTATCAAGGGTCCAATCTCCGACTCCGACAACTCTTGGAGCGAAGGGAGTTCAACTGCACGAACCGACTCTTGTTGAGCCATCAGGCCTCCCAGCCATGCCGGAACTCCTCCAAACATTGCCGGATCTCCTCCACCAGGGGGTCCTCCTCCAGGAGCTCCCGGAAAGCCACCACCAGGCGGGCCTCCAGGAAAGCCGCCGCCACCACCTCCAGGGAAGCCGCCGCCACCAGGAAAACCTCCGCCTCCAGGAAAGCCTCCGCCTCCAGGAAAACCTCCGCCTCCGGGAAATCCATTTGGAGCACCAGGAAACCCGCCAGGAAAGCCTCCACCAGGCATCCCGCCAGATGGCTGTCCAAACCCGCGACCTCCTCCATTCGGCTGACCACCTCCATGATGACCGCCTTCTTGATGACCACCTCCTTGATGACCACCACCCGTAACTCCTGATGAACCGCCGCTTTGACCATTCCGATCAGCTGGTTGTTGGACTGCTGGACCACTCACCGAAGACTCTTTCGAGTTCTGACCCTGACCACCCACTGGATCTTGGGGTTCACTTCCACCAGAAAGACCTTGTCCCTGACCAGAGAGACCTCCGACCGTGCCACCCTGGAACTCGCCAGACACAAAGCCCTTCGAGCTTCGACCATCGCCCGCTGGAGGCTCAGACCACGAGGAGGCAATCCCATGCCTCGCTAAGGTTCTTGACGCCTCCAACATGCCATGCATCATGTCCCCAGATGTGGAGGAGACACGATTGAAGACCTCCATCAGGCTGGCCCTCGGCCCCCCAACTTGCCCATGAAAAAGTCCCGGATCACTGGCCGAAACATGACCAGAACCATGCCCTCTACCGTCTCGACCATTCGACAGCGGCCCCAAAAGACCCTTACCACCATCTCGCCCTGGGGACACCCATGAGGACCTCAATGACTCGAGCATTGACTCCATGACGTTCTTTTCTCGATGCTGACCTTCCGGCATCATGCCATACATCCAAGGTGGTGGATGATTGAAAGGTGGATTGCCCCAACCATGGTTTGCCTGTCCTGCCGACCATGACTCCCGCTCTGACCAAAGGCGCGCATTTTCGGACATGAGGCCATGAAGAAACATGCGAAAGGCTTCGGCTCCTTCTTTCGGTGGCGAGGAACCTGGATCAGGCAGCAGCTCCGTCCCCTCGGATGGGAGATCAGCAGGCCTCAGGGCCCGAAGTACAGCTTCCTCCTGCATTCGCTCAGACCAGAAAGGATTGTACGTATTGGGGCCCAAAACCACAGGCGGACCACAAGGCCTCATCAGGCCGTCTTTGGGACCAGCATCTTCTATGGCCTTTAGGCCATTGGACTCCGGCGTCTTTTCAGAAGCCGCTTCTTCACTCATTGCGTCACCCTGAAACCCAAAAGCACTCAGCGTACCTTTGGGCTCATAACCTACGCCGCTCAAACTGCTTCTATTTTCCTTGTGCAAACAAAAGGCTACAGGTGAATGCCCATGCTCAACTGTTCAAGCTTCACAAGACATGGAAAAGGCTGTGCCATTTCTGCTATAATGACACCTACGTGGCCTATGAGTGTTTAACACTCCATGATCCCATTGTGTGTTTTTCTTTTTAGATAATCTGTTTAATAATGAGTTAATGACCCCTATGTTTGCTTCATTGCCTTTGGAGTGAAAGGGGGATCAGGTTTCGCAACTACTACATGACAACTCCGGGGAGGAAGAGACAGGGAGGAAGCCTTCACAGCTTTGGCAGCTACGTGCATGGGTGCTATGTCGACTTCCATGTTCTTCGGCGCCATGCGCGTCAGATAGATACACCGACTATGTAATTAATGCAAAGCTCATGAAAACTCACTGTTTGTGAAGGGATGCAAGATGCAAAGGGCTATGCTCCAATTCCATGTTGCTGAAGGTGGTACCTGCACGTGAATGAGACAGGAGGACATGTCCCGTGAACCCTACGACCCTACGCCATGCGTCCTGAAAAAAGTGCCATACGCCTGCTGAACATCAAAATCAAGCCCAAAATGACAGAATGGGAACAGTTGTCCCGGCTCAGGAGTCAAAGGGCACCGCTTGGTATTCTGACTGGTGTTTGTCCCAGTGGACTAAATTAATCTTGTCCAAAGAAGGGGAGTATGACGAGTGGGATGTTCTCTTATCACACATCACCAGTTCTTGCATGCATCCTGTATCCCGAGCATCTCCACAGTGTGCCCATCCGCTCCTGGTGGCGGACGTTCCCTTTGAGTGAACCCATTTTACCGAGCGGCCGTTCCCACCATCAGGTGTTCTTTGAAGTGTTGTTAGACTCTTAGACTTAGGATTTGTGACAACTTGCCTGGCAGCTTGCATTCCCATCATCTCCCATAACAGCCATGTGGAGCCGCATCGACCATTGACCCATGACGGAGCTGACGCAAATAAGACTGCTTGCTTGCAGGTAAAGGCCAGTGCAGGTAAGCAGCGCATGCGCAGAAATCTGAGGATGGTAAACTTGGGTTTGCGAGCCACTGGATGGACATCAGTCATGTTGCGAGCCACCACATGTCGGGGAACTCGGTCAGACTCCTTTGCTTGCCAAAGCGCTTTCTTGGGAAGCACGTTGTATGGCTTGATGGCCAGTGGCCATTTCTGCTCACTGCGCTTTTGGGCGGGTGCAGCCACACAAAGTGGCCCGCAACTTTTTCAACTTCCGCGCGTTTTGCGGGTGGCCACCTCTGGCCAAAAATTCAATCCAAGCTGCTTGACATTGAGAAAACCTACTTCGATAGACTTAGCGTCCAGATGCACAGCATTTGGTTGTGGGCCAGTGGAAGAAGAAGGTTACTAACAGGGATTAAAACACCGCTTTCATCATCTCAACAAACGCTAAGAACAGTTCAAAGCCATTAGAAATGTCAAGTTCTTCAAAAAACACATTTTTTGCTACAAACCCTGGGCTCACAAAGCAAATGCTACAAGTGAATGTTCCGGACCACAAACAATACATAAACAAAGTTTTTACATTAAGCTATTGTTTGAACTGCCATATTTTGCATGACCTGGCGATACCTGGCGTAGAAGTGATTCCTTCTCTTCTCTCCTGGACAGCGCAAGGGGAGGGTCTCCCATCGCATGCCTGGTGCCTCGTAGGTCTTGGAGCTTTCAGGTGCCGGCACCTGGCGGTTGGTGCCGGCCGCCACCTACGAGTTCGGGCAAATCTGAGAAGAAGGCCGGCTGCGTGTTTTTGGGACGCTTGAATGACCTGAACACAAGAGTGTCACCTGACATGTCAAAGACTTGAAGCAGTCATGTCAGCACCTTGCCAGATGAGGTCCCACGATTTTGTTTTCATGTTCGCAACGGTTGGGGGAACTCTTGGCGAAGGTTTTGGATGGAAGCATGAAGTGTCGGATTCGTGTGACATCGCGTGCAGACGGAACATGTCAAAGGGTGAATGATACTGTGCAGGTGCAGCGTTTCACGAGTTCAGCGCGTTCGCAGGGTATTTTGGAGGTGTTGGGTGTCGTTGTGCCATCGGTTTTTTTTGTTGAGGCGCTTGCCTTGAAACTGTGCTTTCGCAGCAAGTTTTACCCCAAGTGCGTTGTTCATTCCAACCGTGGGGGCGGTGCGAATTTGCGCAGCTTTTGTGGCAGGCCGAGACCGGCCTTGCATTCTGTGCGTGTTGGTGGTGCCGGAATGTATTTTGCGCGGCAAGTGTAGGGAATGGTGAGGGTGCGACGCTTGGTGCAGGTGAATGTCTGTGATGTGTTTGCTTTGATCCGCGCAATTTTTGTGGAAAAAATCGCACAACATGTTGTTCTAAGGTTTGACGCTTCACTGTTGGAAAAGTCTCATATGGTCGCATTTGGGTTCGTGGATTCCATCTTGCTGTTTGCTCCTCCTGCATGTTTTCACTACAGATTACCACTGGAATAAGGCATGTTTTGATAGAAAAACATAGAAAATGTCCTGCATTTCCAGGTTTGGAGAGGGTTAATTTGAGCGCACCCAGAATACTTGTGATTCTGTAGACAAATATGGTCATTCCAATTTAAGACTGTCTTGAGCTCGCCGGCTTGCATTTTGTAGAACACTTTGCATCTTGCAGAAAGTTGTGCAGGGAGGATCTGGCAGGGGGATGCAGGATTGTTGCGGTGTTTTTATATGCAAGGTATGCGCACACGACCGACAGAATGATACACTCGACAATGGTAAATTTGCCAAGAATGGTTTGTTAAGTTATGTAGCTAGTGCTGAAACTGCCATTTTGTAGTATGTAATTTTTCTGTGCATCCCTTTTCAACATCTCGAAGTGCCGGACACCTTCCCTTCTACAGAATGCCACTCTGCCAGCTTTGCCTCACAACCCCCAAATTGCTCAAAGGAGGGTAGACATCTCGGATTTCAACACAAGACCATATGCTGAGACCTGAAAGCCCTGGGAAACCATTGGAAGCCGACCCATGTTTCTCCCCAACCCCCCCGAATGTTCCTCAAGAATGGTCTCTGATATGGCTAGAAGTTGCCATTTTGTAGTGCTGGTTCTGCGCCCGTTTGCTTTGTTTGCCATGTCTGCTAGTGGTGGTGACGTTTCGGGTGTCTCCCTGTTCAAAGTCGAAGGGTCCAGGTAGTTTCAGCCAGTGAGTTTTAGCTGCTGACTCTACAAAATGACACACCCTACAAAATGGGCCGATTTGCCAATTTGCATCCTACCTGACTTGCAAAACTGGTAATTACCCTGTACAGAATGTATCATGGACTGCTTCTGTTGTGCTTAATTATTAATCAGGTTCTCTCTTTGTCTCTATTTATATAATATCCCCTTCCAGAACCTTCCTATTTTGTAGAGTGTGTCCCTGTCCCAAATGCCCTTGCGCGTGGCATGTTGTAGAGAGTCGGTTTTTAGCAGTTTGTGATTCTGTAGGCCTCTGGGGGAACCACTTTTCCTGTGAAAATGCTTAGCGCAACCTATCCTGTAGTAGTGTCCTTGCTCCTAGTAGCGATGCCAGGAACCTAGTAGCATCCTTGCTCCTAGTAGCGATGCCAGGAGCCCCTAGTAGCGTCCTTGCTCCTAGCAGCGATGAGGAGCCCCTAGTAGCGTCCTTGCTCCTAGTAGCGATGCCAGGAACCTAGTAGCATCCTTGCTCCTAGTAGCGATGCCAGGAGCCCCTAGTAGCGTCCTTGCTCCTAGTAGCGATGCCAGGAGCCCCTAG